CACCCCCCACCTCTCAGGTGCCGTTACGGTTCCCAGCCTGCTAGCAGTTCAGATACCACATCCATCAAGCTTCAAGCACTCAACACGTAAAAGGCGTTGGTGGGCGTTTTGGGTAGGGTGTTCTTTTAGGGGTTTTTTTGGGGTGGTGGTGGGTTGTGTTTGCTTGCTTTAACTGAGCACTTTTAACAACTTAAAACCTGCAGGCGCTCATCTTCACTGGGTTTTAGTCGCTGTGGAACAGCTGCCCGACCCTGATGCATGGCACACCCACGATTGCTGGTGTTGCTCATCAGCGAAAACTTAACAGTAAATACCTGACAAAAAACTTTATACTCTTCTTTGGATTTTTTGTTTTCAATCTACAGAGGAAGCCATACTAACATCAACTGACTTAAGACAGTTACAGGTGAGGGAAGCACAAAGTGCAAATAGATATTGTTGCATTTTCATCATCTTCACTGCTAAATACTTAAGCCTTTCCCCTCCTTTAATAGAAACAACATTTACTCAGTTTTCCAACAGTATTTGTACCATTTTTATTTGTAAAAATAACCATCTGAATGCATTGCAATAGTAGTTTACAGTTAGGGTTCTTCATTACATTAATACAGCATTCAGTAGTTGAAAAAGTTACTAAACTGTGCTTGAGAAGATGCAGTTTGAATTCCAAGTCATTCACTGAAGTAAGTCTTTTTCCTCATTTCGTACGTGACATTTACCCAAGTCCTTAAACTTTAATTTACAAAAGCAAACAATACTGACAAAACCCCACTGAAACCATCAAACAATTTTATATTGTTTATTACAAATGTTATGCAAAATATAACACTGGCACCAGATTCGTATCACCATGGTTTGTAAAGATATATTGCACATGCTAAAGCATAAAATATAAGACAAAACCTACAAAACATAAGATATTGGCTTTAATATGTAGATCACTGCATAAGAAACGCATAAAATTACATTTTGTACACACACTCAGATTGTCACTAGTTTAAAACGCCCTTTCCTATAACACTGACCTAAGGTTTGCTTTTTGTGTAATAAGAAAGCATTTTGAGCACTGCAAAAATTATACATTATTCCTATAGAAATTTAGCATATTAATTTTCATTTCAATGCAGGTAGAACATATGAAAAGAAGAAACACTTTATACATTCAAAGAAGGTCTGAAATGAAAATTTACTGGTAATATATTGCTTTTATAACACTCAAATTAAAAAAAAAAAAGGACAAGTTTCACAAAACATTTCCATAATACACAAATATAAAAAGGCACTCTAAGATTTCTTACATGTCTAAGAATAAAAATCACAAAATTTTTTTAAATCATCCTCATGATACATAACCAAGTTTCTCAACAGTACAATGGATAAACAATTAATTTCATGTGTTTGTTCTAATTCAATAATCTGGCAGTTGCTTACTGCATAAAAGTACCAAACACATTATGATGCCCTTTAGTAGCGATGAACAGAAATCCCCTGAGCTATTTCACAGCAATTTCAGGCAGTCCGGAGGTTGTAACTCAGTATTTACGAGAGAGACTTGGGACCCCGTCCTGCCATGGATTCCACCTGCAGCTGTGGTTGCGATCCAGGATGAAACCATCCTGCGCGCACAGCTGGGCAGAGGGCTGCCCCTCCCCGAACACCCTGTGCTGGGTGCAGACACAGAAGTCACCCACCTACTATAAGTTGCAGGATCCAGGGTTAAGTGCAACAATTATGTGTGATTAACTCTACTCTTGTAAAAAGTCCACAGAAAGGCAAGGTGATTATTCACAAGAGTAAAATTATTCCCATGCTTAAATATCTGCCCTAAATTACACATTTATTTCTACATGTGATAAATTATATTACAGATCAATGTACTAGCATTAAAAAAAAGGGATTCTGGTAACTCACGTGAGATGTGGGATAGGCCAATACGAGTACTTCCAAGTGTCTTACTCATGACAGTTTTCCTCCTAAAGACACCATACTCGAAACATGACTTTCCCAATGCCCTTAAGATGCTAACAAATCGTATGTTTCTATGATTTTTGCAATCTTGCGTACTTACATCATTGTTAGTTTACAGAAAATCTCATCAGTAAAGTTTAGATTTGGTTCCTAGAAGGATCAAAATAATTCAGTAATCACCTATGCTTCTATAACCTTGCACACATCATTAAGAGGCCGCAGCTGTTGCACTACGCAAGTACCAGAGTTACGAGGTATTGCAAATATACAGAAATATTTTCAGTAACTCCATATGGTTAGCAAGTAAAAATACTGAAATTTTTTAAATGACTGCTTAAAATAATACAACATCCTCTTTGTAAAGAGGACTGGTTTTCTCCTAATGAAGCAACTTCATGTAGGATGGCATAACTTTCTGTATTTCAGGGTGAGAGTTATAAATAATCCTGCCAAGAAGCCTACTTATATCTCTGGTTAAACTAAGATTAAAAGGCTGACCCTGCTGTTAGACAGGTGGCAGCCGCTTCCCATTTGTATATTTGCTTTCAATGCCATTATTCCACATAAAAAAAGCCAAATTTGGGATTTCTATTCATTTCTGAACAGACACCACTGAAAACTAACAACTGATCTCTCCTCTTATTTTCAGTGCTTAAAGTAAGGTGGTTATTGCAACTCTTAAAAGCAAAAACATGGAGAAAAATAAATTATAAAAATGTTATTCTGTGCTATTTCTGAGGAGAAAACCAGGGTTGCAGGTGCTCTGTCATTCTATTGCAGAAAATACAGAGTTGAGGGAAAAGAAATGTTCACCTTTAGAGACACTTCCCTTGTGACTTCTTGTTGTAAACTTTGGAAATTTGTTAATGATCAAGGAAACAATATTAAATTTTAGCAAGGCAAAATAAACTTAATATCTAAATACTTTTCCTAATTAAAGAACTGGAATCTGCCAATAGATTTTTAATAATTCAGTGGAACACAGCTAAAAACTGCAACTAAAATAAAAATCCTTACTTTTCACTTACCCCACCGAAAGCGTGCGCTGGGGAAGCTCATCTCAGCCTCCCAGCACAGCCGTGGGCCTGCAGGCAGCCTGAGTGCGAATCATGGGAACTTTAACACCTTGACTCCATGCTGTGTTACCTATTCCCCTCTTTACGGTAGCTGTACGGTGTTCTCTCACTTGGCTAGCAAGGGGTTGGATCCCTTTCTTATGCCCTTAAATGGTGGAAGGTGTTTTGCTCTCTGCTTTTTAGCAAGATAGCCTCTGGGCTTTATCTTTGCATTCCATACAAGGAGACGGGCGCTCTCCCGAAGTGCATCAGCCCTTCCTTTTTCTGCTCGGGCCATCAGTCTTGCCTAGATTCACATTTCATTTTGCATCTTGCTAAAAGGTACGCACAAGTACTAACTAGGAGGACAAGCCATAGTTATTTTTCCTGGGCATTTGTTTCGTTTCAAATAAATATAAATGCATTTACATTAAAAGTATACGAACATAGTCTTTAGTCTGGAAAAAAACAACCTGTGGTCAACACATCATCAGTTACAAATGTCAACTTGAAACCTGCGTCATAAAATGTAAAATTCATTAAAGACTACTCATTATCTCAAAAGTTTATATTTTTATGGTTTAGAAAAACTACTTCATTATGTCACTCACATTTGAAGAAAAAAATAAAAGTAGCAAAGTCTTCCATTTAATTACTGAAGCATTTTGGTCCTCTTCGTACAGCTGGTTAGTTCATGACAGCTTTTTGTTTAGGGCTTTTTTGTTTTTGTTTACAAAGTCTCATTCTTCCTTTTGTACATCTGTTGCAGAGGAGGGTCGTGGTCCATTTGACCTAGAAACTTTGGCAGAAGGAGTAAACATATTCATAAAGTTGACATTGCTTTAAAAGCTGGTGACAATAGGCTTTTTTAGCATGTATCTCCACTCCCCTGCACGGTATACTGCTATGTTTTCTGGTGTTTGGTATTTGAACTTTTGGTGTCATGCTTTCATTGCTTTACTTTTGCTCTGTTAATCCAAACACTGGCAAAAGTATTTTAGAATTTGATACTGTTCACAGTAAAAATAAGTTATCTAAGCATAGGAAAGAAAAAAAAATCCATTTGAGTTGGCAAGTCATTATAAACTTTTACTTTGTCTACACCTGATTTTTTTTTTCTTTTTTTTTTTTTTTTTTTTCCTGATACTAGATTCATGGTTAATGGCTCAGGTGACAGAAACGTCTAATGACCCTAATTCTGTAGTGCAAATAAACTGTACGTGTTTGTGCTGAATTGAAAAACAAAATACGGGCCAAGTACATTTTCATTTTACTCAAGTGGTTCCACTAACGTCTGTGGGAAAATATGGTGAGACAAGTAGCATTTGGCCTTAAGAGTTTATAATTTTCTAATTGTGTGCTGCAACTAAGAACTGTAAAAAGTGCCTTCTGTAGGTTTAAGTGCTTAATACATGCACAATGTAAAAGTTTCGTTTCCTGTAAAAAAGTTATACAGGCAGTTTTAAGATTTACAACTTTACCTTTGGTTTGTGTAAAAAAAAATTATCTAATTAACAGAGCCCCTGGAAGCAGGAAACAGACAAAGAGAGGAAAGGAGTGATGCTTGAATCTATGAAGGCTACACTGGAAATATGTTCATGTACTAAAGGTACAGCTAAAACATGTAAGAACGTTTTACAAACAGTTCCCTGTTTATTTGTGCTGTCAAAAAGAAAAAAGGCATTTTCTCTTCTTCTACTTAAAATAAGAGGTAGAGACTTTCCACAGGGGCACTTAGGGCCTAAAGAAAACATGAGGAAGCTGAAAAGCTGCAGAACATTAATGGGAACGTGTTCCAGTAAATCCCTCTAACTTTGTTATTTAAAGGCTTGATTTTCATTAACACTACAAATCTTTCAATACCTACTGGTCAAGAATAATAGTTAAGAACATAGCCATGGGATTTAAGCTGTTTAAAAAGACAAAAATAGAGCTGAAATGAAATAATTATGAAAAAAAGATTTGAATACCAAAAAGTCAAAATGTTTCAGAATCCGAATCATTTTCGTTGTACCCATCCTCAGTTCCTATGTTATTACTCAAGGGCTTATTGTAAGGGATAATGCTACCCATACTGGAGCCATCGCAGAGATGTGTCCTGCCCAAATTGTCTTTTTTATAACAAACGAAGTTGAAAGCCGTCATTGAACTGGAAGGAGAAAAAGGCATCATGGTAGCCAAAATGAGTGCCAGGCAGTCAGCCACGTCTTTGTTAGGAGCGCAAGCCAGGGCTGGCGTATGACCTGGGCACAAATGCAGACAAGGCAATGGTTAGTACTAAGGGTACTGAGAATGGCACCGAGCATTCCTCATATACATCTCTAGATGACATCATAAGCAGGAGATGTATGTTCAGTTACGATCATGCAGGCAACAGGGTTATGTTACTCATTTTAAATCAGACATGCTGGGAAAATACACACTTTATGGAGCATTTAAATCACTGTGACCACAACAAGCACTATTTTTTTTTTTTTAGATCAGGCAGCAAACAGGCTTCACAATATAAATAAAAGCACTTGCTAAACACAGTTCTACAGCACAGACAGTATGATGAATACAGAACATGGGGAGTGCAGCAACAGGGACAGAAACTGGCTTCAGTTTCTCTGCGTACAAAGAAATCTCATTCTGAGAACAATGACTTTCATTAGAACATAAAAGATATTAGTTTAAAAACATTCTGAAGTAATAAGCAAACGATTTTAGAGACTGATCAGTTGAGTATCTACTCAACTCAGAAAGCAATTTATTTAGGAACTAAATTGTGAGAGAAAAAAATTAGACCAGTGCACGTGGTACGTGTATAGCAGGTATGACTACGAGGATGTTTAGTTACCCAAATTTACATTATGTTAGAAGAATAATGACTGTATTCGGAAAGCATGGCATACGCTTTAAATACAAAGTTAATATTGTACAGATGTCAGTGAAACGAAGAACTGGTGAGCTATTAAAAGTTTGTCTTCACTGCAGTTTAATGTAGCTCCTGCCCAAGCAGTGCCCCTAAAGCTCTTCAGGTATACAAATCTTGTAAACCAGTACGCTGATTACACTTGGTATATATACATTTTGCAGACTGCTGTGTAGTACTCCAGCACTTTACAACAAATCCTCCTTTATACTAAGAGCAAACAAATTCTTTTGAAGATGGCTAAATTCTTAAGTGCTACAGCAGCAGTAATCTGAGGCAATGACCACTACTGACATCCTACTGCCTCAAGTAAGCTGAGAACGCCTGCAGTATAGAGGAGTTTGGTGGACAAACCTGAGTACAGTTTTTAGCAAACTCCCCAGATTTAACCACTGACTGCAGTGAATGCATACCCTAAATGGAATTTCCTCTTCTACTGAGTTTCAAGCGTGCATATGCTTTAGAGTTGTATTTATACTAAGATTGCACTTAAATTTCTCTCCTTTAAACTGCATATGCAGTTGTTCCTAGAAAAATTAAATGTGTATCAAATTTAAACTTAATTTTCACTTGTTACATACATGCAAATCAGCTGGATCTGTACATACAATTTTAATGATAAAAACTGTGGTTAGAAGCTAGTCTGGTTCATTTTTACATCCCCTATCTTTAAAATGAGGTTAGGGCCAGATGACTTCAGTGGAACTCATTCATGCAAGTATATCTACGTAGCATTTGGTTAATAGCAAATACTCACCACTCAGTTCTTTTCATCCATAGATCTCAAATGTCTTGCAATGATGGGTGAGTATTATTATTGTTACTTTACAGATATGGGAAGATGGAGGTACTGAATTGTTACATTAATGCCATGAAGTCAGTATTGTAAGAAAGACCAGCTTATTTCAGGAAACCATTTTTGAAAACATTAATTATAGAAGCACAACCCTCTATGGACTTTATAATGTTTAGGGAAGGACTTCATTGAGATCTGAAACAAAATTATCAGATTTATTAACTAATCATGTATTTGATGAGGCAACAGTAATTTACTTGCATCTTGGATTAGGTCAGACAATTGGTAAACACAAGCTTTGATCTCAGAATGAACTAGGACACAATCAAACATATGTTGATGGTTTTCTTCCTACCCATTAAAACATGCGCTGATTGAATGCATAATCCTTAATTCTTCTGCAAGGTGTCAGAATTATCCGGTGCCACTTGCATGTTTAGGAAATTCAAGTTACCACTGCACTCAAGCATTAAAAAAGACTAGCTGTTGACAGTACATGCAAAATGAACAGTAAAAGGGACCACTGTGATGTTTAGAATACATTTTTATATTAAAGAAAGATAAAACAGTTGTGGGGGTTTTTTATAGGTACTCACACAGCTCATTGTCTGTTCTTGGAAGGATAAAAGCATCAATAATGTCTATCATCACCTTTTAAGTCTATTGCTTTGGTCTGTTGTAAAGTTACCTGTGGGATCCTAGTGAAGATTGTCAAAGTGTATTATTTACTTACCATTTTCATCTACTGCTAGGACACAAGCCCCTTTTGCTAGCAACTCTTCAACCACCATCTTTAAACCATTTCGTGCAGCAATATGGAGAGGCCTACAAAAATAAAACAACTAAATTCAAGTTCAGCTTCTTTCTAAAAGAAGTTAGGTAATGCTTAAAGCATACCCAGCATCAGAAAGAGGATGTTTTCCTTTTTTTGGGTCATTACAATCATATGGTAGACATTAAATTATATTACACCCTTTAAAAATAATCCTCATGTTCCACAGCTATAAAACATATGTGTAAGACATACAGAAAGACTGCTTAATACTTTCTAGTCTAAAGGCTTTCTTTACAAAGCTCCTGTTTTTCCACCGTTTGCAGCACACAATTGACATTTAAAAGGAAAATGAATCTAAGACTGAAGAAATGCCTTTGTTCCATCCTTCATTCTGGTTACTACAGACTGTTCAAAATTATCGTATTGCCTTTTTATCCTTGAATACTCGATTACTAATCTCTGTTACTGCAGAGCAGCTGGAAATTAAAAATAACCACTGATTTGCTCCCTTCCTGCGCCAACACCTCGTGCTTCTGTTTGGGGACAACTAGTGGGACAGGAAAAACAATTTCATATTGGAAGGGGGGAAAAAAGGCTGAGATGGAATGAATTCTTCTGCAAGCACTAGATGATCTGCCACCTGAACTTGTGGTTGAATCTTCTCCTGTGGGATTCCCCCATACCAGTCAAACAATTGCAGCTGGAGTAAGAATATCAGTGGTTCTAACTCTGCTGATAAAGTATGGTATGGACAGGAGTTGCTCATAAAGTATCACCTAAAAAAACCTCTAAAAATCAAATGTATCACCTTAAGTCTAAATAAATTATTTAGATTTAAGGTGAAACTCAAAAAGCTAGGAAATGCCAAACCTATACTTACACATTCACATGATTAATAGACATTTTGATATAGTTTTCAAATAAATGATCTCATATAATTTTTCCATCTGACCATTTATAGAATTGGTATCAAAGGAAAATGCAATACAAATCTTTTGATGGGCAAGCGTTCAAAAAAAATCAGAAATTAACTTTTTTGTTCTATGAAAAAAATCTGAGATGTGAATTTGAAATGCTAAATCAGAATCTTCTGGTAAGTCAACTGGACTTGAAAGAATCAGGCTATACTTACGTCTGCAATGCATTATTTTTTGCATTAATAAGGCTCTGTTCTTGTATCCTGTCAAGTATTAACAAGGCACATTTTTCATGACCCTGTAGTTGTGAAAAAAACCAAAGTGTTAATTTGCTGAGGAGTTTGAAATTGAAGCAAAACAAATGTTACATATAAAAGTGAAATTTAATAACTCAATTTGAAATACAAAATACTACTCAGCTTATAAGGATGCATAATAGGTGACCTGTAGGAGCCTTAAAATACCGTTTACAAACCACCACTGCTAGGATGCTTTAGCACATTTAGAAACTTACGACATTCACCTGTCTTTCAACCCTCCATTCATTATATATGAATTCACCTCCTCAGCTTTCAGAGAAGACTGCTATTTCTCTTGAGAGAGCATTCAATGGATTATTTATTAGAGCCACACAGTAACACAGAAAGAGACAGTTTAATCTCAAAAACTAACACTATACTTTCTGGGTCTTTAAATGCCTTTCTGTATTATTAATAAGCTACTACAAAATCCCTTCAGTGTCAGGACCTTATTTCTGATAACTGTTTCAGCACAGCAAGTCTACAGCCCTGGCAGGTGAGCAGATGCCTGAAGGACCTTGAGAATGCAGCAAGGCTCATGTGTCTGCAGAAACTGTAGTAATACTATCACACTGGAATCCAGTGGATAGGAGCAAAAGAAAAGGCCCAGGAGAGGGAATCCCATGGGCATTTTTTCTTGCAGAAACAGCAGTTAGCAATTGGAATTAAGAGGAAAAAGGGGTGGGGAAAGACACCACCACCAATCTAATCAATGCCTCTGGTTTTACTGCTACAGAGCATAAAGGAAAATTTTAGGTTCTTTCCAGAACTTCCACAGAAATTTTCTTCCACAGAAATTGGGAGAATAAGAAAGAAGAATAAATACCCTTTTTTTTCCTTTGCTACTGAACCTATGTTAACCTATTTTACAGTGAGATTATTTGGTAAAATTTCAAAGGATTTTCCATTATGTCTCTCAGTTTCCCTTCCTTATGTTTTAACTGTCGTAAGAGGCATCCATTTTCTGAATTTACTAAACCTTGAAACAGACTTGAAAAAAAGCTTGGAACAATGCTCCTTTCCTCACCACAAGTTTGTCCATCACGTTTTCGTTGCAGAAAAATTTTTAGGAGCATAAACACACACATACATACACACAGACTATAAAGACGATACAAGCATACAGAGGTCTTCAACTTACTTTACTGCTAGCTAAGTGCAAAGACGTGTTCAGCTCCTTATCTTTTAATGTCAGGTCAGCCTTGGCAATGTTCACCAAAAAGTCTGAGGTATAGAATACAAATCAACGAACAAACCCAATGTGCAGACGAACATGTAAAAAAAGAGCAAAAAATTTACTATTTCAATATATGTGTGCATACATGCTAATCAATTAAGCCTCTATGTGATGTAAGCTCCATGAAGTGCAAAGAATGAGAACAGACTAATCTTGTGCAGTTAATAAGCAAGCAAAGGCAGAGCTAACAGCTCATTCACTGTGCCCCAAACTGTCAAACATATATTAATCTTAATTTATTTATAAACATCCCCATTTGCAGATCAGCAAGTTCTGCCTGAATCACCTTCTCCTGAGAACAACTGTGGCTCCTTCTTTGAGAGGACTAAGTGGGTATAAAGAATTTAGGGTGCCATCTGTCCTGTTGAAGCTAGAGAAAAGGGAATTCTGTTAAGCCAATATGGCCCTAATCTGTATGTCTATCGTATATAGTCTAGCCTGGAAAAGCAGCTGCTGATAGCTGCCATTTTAAGAATAGGACTTCCTACAATGAGCACAAAAAAAGGTTACATAATCTTTTTCACATGGGCAGTTTTACTTCTCTCTAAAATCAAGGAAGTAAACAGGAGAATAGAATTACTACTCCCTCCATGCTCTTTGCAGTGTGCTCTTAGGAGGATATAAGACTCAAGTTTGTTATAGCAAATGTTCACCGAGACTTCTGAGAAACAATGACTGAGAAGAATAAGAATTTTTTTTACAGATGTAAAGGTAGCTTCATACAGACAGCCACACAATTTATTTTTCTTCCTTAGTTTTCACAGGAAAAAAAATTACTACCTATCTGTGATAGTAACTGCAGTAGCACTCGTCCTTCAAGACGAACAGAGGCAAGGATGTACTTACCTACAGCACCTATGTGACCGTTTTGAGCTGCCATCATGAGAGGTGTTTTCCCTGCGTCATCCGCAGCATTCACTTGTGCGCTGTGACTCAGGAGGAGCTGGAGGCACTCCACGTGATCCGCAAAGGCTGCTGCGTGAAGGGGCGTTCTGTGGGGGAAGTGACACGACCACAGCTGTTTAGGCTAAAGAATGACAATATTCCTGTTTGTTTACCTTACCAAGAACCTGAAAGTGCAAACCGTTTTTAATTTATTTTTTTATTTTTTTCCTGTGAAACTCTGAGTTATCATCAAGGGTACGTTATAGCAGCAGCATCTGAAGTAAGTCAAGTAACATTTACAGTCACTGTCCTGGTGCAGTATAAACTTTTAAAAAAGGGAAGCATAAGGTGGATATGATACTGTGGAGATTTGATACTGTGGCGAATCTCATATTAGCAGCACATTGCTAATGGAGCATACTGTGTAATATGAAAAACAGTACGATCTCTCATTCTTATTGATCTGGTATTTTTTTAACAAGCCTAAGATGGGAAGAACTATCAGAAAAGAACAGATCCATTATTTTAAAAAACTAAAGTATTTTAAGTTATAGTCAAAAATACTGCAGCAACAAGCTACAGTAACAGTATTACTATAAAAGGCAGAAGGAATTCTATCAACATTGAAGGTTATCAGTTTTCACAAGACCGAGACACTAGATTTCATTCGCTGCCTCCCTATGGCATTTTGGGTTTGAATAATAGAGATGAAAGACAGTTGGTACACAACCCAGCTCATAGTGTTACTTCAGGTTTTGCTTATCAGTAAGGGTTAGGTGGTCTTACCCTTATAGGAGTAAGTAATCGCCATTGCTGAAGGTCTTGAATTTGTTTTAATTAATAGAAACAATGAGTATTCCATTTTTAGAATTTCAGCAACTTTAATTAAATATATATATATACACACATAGCGAGGAGATTATCAATGTGACAAATTAAGGATTTGGCTGAATGCACCTTTCTTGCTGTATCAGTATTATTTTTCTGCACAGAGGTTTTGAGTTGTATGCCCTGAGAATGCTAACCTGACATTAAAGCTTTTAATGAAATACTTCTCTATGCGTACATAGTATCACTCCATTTAGCAAAGATAAGCCTGTTTCAATATTTAACAAAGAGAACTGGCTCAGGGAAACAGTCTATAGTCATAGCTGTTCTAACAAACAAAATACTATTTCTTTTGCATTTCTTTTCATATGTACTATGAAATTGAATACTTCATAGTACTCTTGCTTCAAGTGAGCCACCATTTAACTCTGTTGCAGTTTAAACTGCTGTCTGAAAGAGTCAGCATGACAAGTCTTAGCTCAACCATATCAGATAAGGATTAGTTCCTTAGAGGTTCAGAAAGAATTATGAAAAATACTAGATGGATTAATGAAGATGAAATGCAATTTGTTTAAGAAGCTATTACCTTCCTTTGTCATCTTTGCAATTGACAATGCTGGCATCGATGGCTCCGATGAGCAGTGATGCACAATTTTCATGATCATTGATCCTGCCAAAGAAAAGACATTTTCAAAAAGCTAAAAAGTCTACATCTTTTCCCACTTTCCAACATTAATTTCTTTCACTTCCCATTAATATTTCTTATTGGTTATTTATAAGTTATCCTAACATACTTTTGCCATAATGCTTTCAGTTACATTTCTGGTTATTCATCATCTCTCCATTTAACCAAACTGCATCTGCTACTATGAATTTCAGTCTCTAAAGCAAAGCTTGGTCCTGCAATTCACTACGCACAAAGGTAACTGAAAGCGCAGCACAAACCTAGGATTAAAAGCTTAATACCTTAAAATCCTTTCGTCTAAATGTCAAACACACCTGGATCTGAAAGCACTCGGTCATAGATACCTACATACAGAAAGCTTTATTCTAATGTTTTAGGTACAGAAGCCCACATCTCTTCCATCTCACACATTTAATACTTTTCCTTGATGAATGTACTCAATTAATACTCTTTCTGGTTATTGTTAATTTGTCTCATTTCATTATGAAAATGAACAGGGTTTAGTAACAGTTTTAGACATATAGTACAGCTAACACCCATCCGTGCTGGATTAGCAGCTGTTTTCATTTTACATTTGCATGCATTTTTAAGTTGCACACATTTTTAATGGGTTTGAAAATTACATACTCGTTGAAAATAATATAAACATTGAAAAAAAATTTTCAAAGCCATCATAAGAAATTCCCATTTCAAATGCTATGTTACAGCCACAAATTATTTTATTTTAAGCAGAGTAAAAACAGTGCTTCATGTATGCTTTTATTTCTCTAACATATTGGGGTTTTCATGATTTCAAAGTCTGATACATGACAAATTACTTTTCTACTTTCCAATGATGTGGACTGCAGAAGGGAAGCCTACACAATAACAACTCCTATCGTTTCTTCTGGAAGACACTTCGTTCTTCTAATAGAACATAGAATACAGACATTCTAATTGTCGGCAGAAGGTTTGCATTTGTTTCTTCAGTGCTTAATTCCTTACTTTCTGATGGCTTACATGTTTTAATAAGCATGTTAGGTCCTACAAGCTAAAGTAATCTTGCATTTAAAAAAAAATGCATTTGCAGTTATGTTATGAAAAGTTACAATTTTACTCTATGAGAATCCTTCCCATATAAAACCATACTGCTTTATTTGAATAAAGAATATGTATAAAATACATGCATGGAAGAAGTTTAATAACTCATAATAGCCACCGCCTTTTTTTTTGTTCATAAATATTATGAGAACTTTGGATACAGAGTCTGCCTCTGTAACTGATCAACCCCTTTGGCTAGGACCTGGGTAAGAAGTACCAAACTTTCAAGACAGAGATTATCTCAGAAGGAATAAAGACCATGAAGAAAATCAGTCTAGAAAACACTCAGCTGAGGAAGTCTTGGAAAAACTATGGCCTGCACAGGACACCATTTTTATTTGTTGTTTCAAATCTTTCCTTCATTAATGCTTTGTTCCTATTGCTAAAAATGAAAAAAATCATCTTGATTCTGACAAATTTCTTAACTTTCAGCCATTGGGCTTCAAAGGAACCTCAAAAGCTCATACTTGCACAGACCAAGGCACTATAGCCCAGGTCATGGCCTAAGAATGGAAAAGCTACAAAGTTCCAGCCTGTGTGAAGAAAAGGCATAGGTCTGTAGTTGTAAGCAAGGAAAAAGTAACTAGAAAGGGAGCAGAAATGCACCTATTTAATTACAAGTCAGAATTTAATCAAATAGCCTAAACGTATGAAATTTATGCAAAAATAATCTTTATTCTGTCACTTTTTCAGCAGCAGTATAAGCACAATTTTATGATCAGCTTTAAAATTATTTGCTCATGCAAATAATCTAAAAAAACCCCAAAGCTTTCTTCTTATACCGCTACTTTTTACAGACACATCCTAAAGCATCTGTTATTGGGGATTTCTACTTACACGGCACAGTGCAATGGAGAGAAGCTATTACCATAGAATGTGCGGAAAAATTTTTGTTCCAATAGTACCTCTATGCAGTTTTCATGACCTATAAGAGATCAGACATTTCACAGTGTTGCACAAAGCAAGTAATACACTTAATTCATACTAGGCTTATACAGATGACAATTTAACATGAAGTTCGAAGTTGAACACAACGCGTATATAAGCTCTTATGTGATAAAATTATAAACAGGTTTGTTTTTTTTTTTAAATTACAGTAGCAAGATAAATCCAAGCTAATATTAGCGCTTACTGAAAAAAAGGAAAGGAAAAAAAGTCTCTTCTTTGTGTGGTGTTATGTATGTTGCCTTACACATCTCCAAAGATGGTCTTAAATGATGGCACTAGGAAGCTTTATCCTTATATTAAGCAACAAGTTCAGATTATCCAGTTTAGAATAATCAGTTCAGTTCAGGATATCCATCTATTCACGTGGTCTCTTGCATCAATAAATAAGAAGGTGACACCTCAAAGGAGCGTTCCTGGCCCCACAGAAATCAGTGAGAATTTGATCACTGACATCAGTAAAACCAGAATTTCACCCTGGCCTCCTGCGACTGGGAGCAAATGAGCTGCAAAGCCACTGGGAGGTATTGCTGGAATTTCCCGGGCTTCTGCGCTGAAGGGTGAACATGGCAAATGCTAACTGCAGAGAGCAAGTAGAGGGGAGATAATTTGCCTCTTCATCTCAGGCTTCTCAGAGTGTTCGGCTGCTTTGCTATCATCTTTCCTTAAAGCGGAGGCCACATTTGAACTTGACAAAAGTCCACAGGGAGAAACTTACCATTGTAAGAAGCCCAGTGCAGCGGTGTATAACCTTGATTATCTTTCAAACTGCAGTCTTCCTCTGAAAGTGCTATCTGCAGTAACTCACTCAGCCAAGTGGCATGACCCCGAGCTGCTGCAAAGTGCAGAGGTGTTCTGCCTCTGGCGTCTTTACATAAAATAGATACTTCTTTCTCTAACAGCATCTGAACACACTCTTCATGCCCAGTCATAATCTGGTAACAAAGAAATGAGTAAAGAAGTTGACATAATACAGATTCTTGCCCAGGAATTATGGAATATGATTGATGCCTGTGAACATGAAACAGCCTGCATGGGATTCAGAAGGCAGAGATGAAAGCTCCTTTGCGCTCATGAGTACTTATGATAACCAACACACTGAAATGTATTTGGTGCTGTCTTTCAAAGGCATTGATTCCTAGTCTGTGGAAGAGACTCCACTAAGTGAGGCACAAAAGCAAGGAGGAGTTTAAGACTAAGGAAACAGATGAACAAGAGGTGAAGGTCAGAAAACCTAAGTCTGGCTTCTCAAAACCATGTGTGAATGCGAGAGAGGAACTGAGGGGAAAAAAAGGATCAAGAATATCATCAGAAATATGAAAAGCTGTTTTAACAGCTGGCCAGCTACTATCAGTGACCTGTGTGTCATACACAGGGTAGCTTTGATATCTTGGTTGTGTTCATGTATTACTATCAATACAGAAGAGAAATTCTATACCATAGCTTTTATTACAGACTTGTGCTGGACTCTAAGCTGAACTGCTCACTGCCGTATCATAGAGTTCTGTATAAATATCATCTCTTGCATTAACTTCACATGGGGTAAGAACCTGACTTCTAGAAAAGATTAGTTCTGCCTTGAGTTTCACGGCCTCCAGATCAAAATTTAAGGCTTACTTATTTACACCATCCTCCTCAAGAAAAATGAAAATAACTGTTGGGCTTTGTTCTTTGAAAGAAATTATTTTCAGAATTCATAAGGTGCTCAGTTATAAAAACAATGATTGCTATACTGAAGTGTCTAGAGCCAAGAAAAATTGGTCTAATTGGCATTTTATCTAATTAATTAAAGTGAATGTGAAATAAAGTCAAAAGCAGAGCATTCCTGACAGCAGATCTGTCCCGCTTTTTATCTTGTTGACTGTGCTTGGTCAGGTTTCCAATCATTTACAGTATTCCCTGTATTTATATTCCAATCATTCAATACCCCTGTACTTATAAGTGAGTTGTAGTCACAGTAAAACAAATGATTAAGAATCATAAAAATTAAGTCACCCCTCGGTGTAAAGCTGTGCATCCCAGGAGATCAGCAGCATCTACAGATGCTTCTTTTTCAAGTAATAAAGAAACAGCATCGATGTGCCCATATGCCACTGCAAGCATTAGTGGAGTTCTAGAAAAAACAAAAACAAACAGTCATAGCTATAAAATGACACACTGCTTGCCACTTGTGGCATTTTCCCCTGATAGAGAAATCAGGAAGTCTTGCAGTTCTCTCTGTTCCTACACACAAACCTGTTCCTTTCACTGTGCTCCTCTATGTAATACCCAAGGAAAGACCTTTTGTATGAAATCATTAACATGTTTAACAACTACCTACCATGACTGAAATAGAAACAAACTCATTTGTAAGCAGTTTACAGAGCAACATCATTCAAGACAATCTGTTTTCTTAATAATCTACAATTAACATCATCTCCAGCAACACGAGCTTTGCAATACCCAAGTGTTCTGAATGAATGTCCCTGCTAGTTACCAAGATGACAACAACCCAAAGCATTTCTTCTGCAAATGCTGCACAATTGCTTAAAGGGGATGAAAGGGACATGAGGAAACTATTCAAGCCAGAACTTGGACTAATATGTCTTCCATTTTTTTTCTGAAAGGGATCTATTCTCCTTCTATTTTTAGGTAAGACTAATACCATTTAAAATTACATGTAGAGTCAGATACATTCTAGGCATCTCAAATGAATTTTTTAAGCCATTCACATTTTCACTTTAAAAATATACTTAATTCTCCCTCTACAACTGTCATTTAATGAGAAGTAAAACTTTTGTGGGAACATCTCAGATTCATGTGTGACCTGAAATAAACATTCTGTGTCACTGCACCAGCCTAATATACCAAAGAAACCCTGAAATATCAATGTTTTAGGAAGAAAAGACTCTCTATAGAAAGATCTCAAGAGCTTGTTAGTTTTTATTGAATCTGGACCCCAGCATCTATGAAGAATTGTTTGAAGTATGAAGCAAAGGCTAAGATTAATGAATAGTCCTTTCCACATGGCTTAGATCAACGGAACGTGTACTTTGTAATCTTCCAAATTCTATAAGGAGACACGCAGGAAATACAGTATTTCAAATAAATGTGCTTTCTTCTAAGAAATCTGAGATTCCTGAGATCACAGAGCTGAAAGAAAACCATCACAAAGAAAACTTACTGTCCTTTGGCGTCTGTCACGTCTGGGTTGTCTGCAACTTCTAGCAACAACCGCAAACAAGGTGTATGGCCGTTAATGACTACAAGGAAAAAACATATTTTTAATTTAAATATGTTTAATTTCAGATACTTTTCCATTGCGATGTTTATGGATAAGAAATTTCCTTATACACATGGACAATATTTCACAATGTAAGAAATCAATATTCCCACAATTTTCATTTAACTTGTGCCGATAAAATGGTGAGCTCTTTTTTTCCCCGACCTCAGTATGACGAGGATTAGTCTTCTTACATAAAAAAATCCCAAATGAGTAAAACTGAAATTGTGATTTTCACTACTGACATATCTACTAAACCAGACAGCATTTCAAAATCCCTCGGAGCGAGCGGGCAGACAAGGGTTTCTGCGACCAGATTTGGAATGCAGTAGGAAGTACGCTGGCAAGGCCCGTTAATTTTGTAAGCAAGAATCTTCCCTAGAAGCAGCAAGATCTTCAGTGCTGCTATGAAAAAAGAAGCATCTGCAAAGAATGGCCAATGATACAAATGTCATATTCCTAAGAGCACATAACACCAAATTATAAAATTCCTTTGGGTTTTTCCAGCTTTTCTAGTTTAGCATTATTGGAAGCCACAACTACCTCTCAAAAATGGGGTTTGCCTTTTAAAATGTAAGCCCTTGCTGTTGGAAAACAGCTCTGAGTTACTATGTTTTGCAGGGCCTGACACTGGAAATTCATCTGTGTGTCAGCTGACTTAAAGGCCTCAGCTGTAGACAACTCATCGGGTGAACAGACCAGTATTTTCTTCTTTGAAAAACAATAATTCTTGTACTCAGTAGATAGAGATTGTGTTCTTATTACAGCAAGCCATGCATTCACACTGCCTACGCCCTGTGGGCTGAGGCAAAACCCTTGTACACCACCTATGTCACATCATTCTGGCAGAGAAATGGGCGGATATCATCACATTTAAATCACTCATCCAAAAATAATCTTAGTTGCTCTACCCAGAAAAAGAAAAGACCTTTTTATTTTTTACCACTAAGTAATGCCATATACATAACATGTAAACAGCTCCATGGGGCTGGTGAGTCACTGGCTTCGGGGAAAAATAAAAATCTCTTCTTTCTCCCAGCAGGAGGAAGAGAAATCCTAACTTGTTCACACGGGTGTCTGAAAAGGATTTTGGTAAATGAGTTTTAGAACAGATACTCCCAGAAACTCTTAGGAGCTGACCCAGCAACTGCTAAGCATTACAGACCCTGCAGGGAACATTAGTTTTGCCAACAGAGCTACAACATAACACTAGGGGAACGTTTGCAATGGATTCCCAAAGCTAGCCAGAGGAAAGACTGGTGGTAATAAAATTATACAGGGAATATATAATTTAGGCTAAGGAAATTCTCCTTCTTATGAGGTCAGAGAAAGTCTATTCCCTGAGGAGGACAGACAGAAAAAAGAAATACTTCATTAGGTGATTTCTCTGCAAAAGTTACAAGTCCCTTTACTGAACAGAGCTCTGCAGAATCCTGTAATCCAATCCACCACTTCAGGTCTCCTTAACAGTTGTGTTCTGCAATTGTGCTTGTGTAATTATAAGGAATGAAGGCAAACACGTTCAAGGGGATGGGCACACATACCTTCTTGTTTCTTTCCAGTGCACAGGAAATACATGCAAGTATTCACTTTCATGCGTGCAAATGCGCACCGTCACTCAAGGGATTAATTCAGCAATAATTGTTTGATTTCTCGAAACATGCCAATTTAGCTCTTACACTTGCACTGCAAATAAAAAACGCCGGATACTGCAGTGGCACCACACAGAGTTTCCAATAGGCGGGACTGTTCTTTGCTAAAACACTCCTACAAAAAATGTGCTGTTACAAAATAGTGTAATAATCAGATTGCAAGTGACTTTTCGTAATAGTCGGAGATAGAAGCTTTATTCCAGAGCTAATTTCCACAGAACTCTGCATAGCTCTTGATCTAAATGTTGTCTTAATGGATATTTACCCAAAGGGCACTTATCTCCCATTTTAAAGCCTCCAAATTAATGACCATGATAAATTTCCTTTTTTAAGAGTTCAAATATTCAGCCTGTCTGTGCAGTATTCTCCCTTCTTAAGGTTCTTTAGTGTCTCATTCCTGTGGGTAGTGCTTTCTTGCTTCTTGCCTTTTTTTGCCTCCTTTTTTAAATACACACCTATGTGTGTATTTAGACCAGAGGGTCTAACTTGTTTTGTTTCACTGCAGATTTAAAGAACATTTGCTTGTATCCCTGGAAGATTTTTTCTTAGTCTTAAAATTTAAAATTTAATTTTTTTAAGCAAAAAAATACCACAGACTAGAAAAATTTACAATGAATCTTCCTACTGGTTTTACATGAAAGGCACTCATACTACAGTGGTGGGGGCAATTAAAAAAGAAATTAAAATAGGGGGGAAAAAAGCCCACAATCACAATTTGTATGAAGGTGAGAAATGTGCATATTAAAATAACACCTTCTGTTCAACAAATGTACTCAATTCTATTCAACAAATCTATTCAACAAATCCATATTTTAAGTCAAAGCTTCTAACAAAAATATGGCTTTGTTACCATTTACTTTTCTCAGTACTGCAGAACCCTTACAATTCAGCTGTGACAAGAAACCTGTGTCACTATAACCAAATTTTTTACTAAATGCAAAATCATTGCTACAGTGATGATGTACCAGACAAAGTCACAACTTGTTCATCATCAGACCCTAAGCTATGTTTGAAACTACTATAGGAAAGCTCTTGACCAACACAGCTCCAGTTTTGAGGCAGCACTGATCTTGATTTAAATTAATTAAACCAACAGTTTTAAGGCGGGTCCTTAATCCACCTCAGTCAAGTGAGGATCAGCTGGATTTACTATTTTGTGTTTTTATAACTAAAACCCCTCTCACTGAATTCTGGTCTCAAACTTTTGATATGTAAGCTCTGGCAGCATATCTCTTTATCATTAGCTTATTGTCGTGAATAACGTACTCAGTTCTGATGCAAAATTTAGGAAGGCAGAAAGCATTTTTTAGTATGCTGTGAAGACCTATTATGCATATTTTTTCAGTACTGCACACAAAATTGGTAACTCTATTTGACCTTATGCTTCCAGGTTGCATTTATATGTTCACACACTAAAAGATAAACGGAAAGACAATTAAGTCTGGCCCTGAAAATAATTTTGTTCTACTTAAGTATTAATTTTACTTCCCACTAGAGGTCACTGCTATGCTGTACTGAGCCCCTCGATGAACAGCCAGAGGAGCAACATTCCCTTTGGCACCCCTGCATCTGTATCTGACAGGTACTTATTAAATAATAACCCTCAAATAAATGGCAGATTCTACATTTTCTAGTTAATTATGCACATTGCATAATTAACACTCAATACATGAGGAATGGAAGCAGACTCCCAGCAACAGCAAGTTCGCAAGGTAGCTCAGGAGCAGGATAATGTCTGAAAGGGGGTGAACTTCTGTAGTGTTGCCCCTGCAAAAGGTTGAAAGTTTTGAACACCAGGATAAATTTCATCACCAGTGAGAGCCTACCTGTATTTTCAACCTTTCTTCCTTAGGAGAAAGAGTGAGGCAAGTTTTCTCTCTTCCCCTGATTTTTTGGCCGAGGAACCATTAAGAGAAGGTGTCATAGGGGGAAGATCACACATCTTAAAGAGCAGGTAGTAATAGAGAGGTGAGGTAAGGTAAAGGCAAGCAGGTAAGGGCAGAGCAGTAGTGGTGTGGAAAAATATGGGATTCTGTGTAAGGGAGGACTGAACCACTAGGACAGTGGAAACAAAGACCAAAGAAATGAAAGGTAAGAGTTAACTGTAGGACCTCAGCAAACAAGCAGCAGTCCTCAGTACAAGTCAAAATCTCCTTCTTCCATTTAGAAGAAAAATGCACAGGGATAGTAGTTAAGGTAACTGCTTCTGTGTTGTAGTGTTTATACCACAAGTATTAACATAAGATCATACTCACCTGAGGCGTGGAGGGGGGTCCTTTTGGTGACATTGTCTTTTACAGTGACAGAAGCACCCTGGCTGATGAGAGCTTCCACGCACTCCGCGTGTCCTTTAAACGCAGCCAGGTCCAAAGCAGTGCGTCCCTTCTCATCTTTAATATCTAGACCTACCAGAGACTGGAGAAGTACCTCCAGCGCTTGATGATGCCCATTATAAGCCTAGAAATACGAAATGGTAATGTAAAGAACACAACTCAGGTCTTTCAAAGACTTTCACATAAAACATGAATAAAATCCATTATTGTCACAGTCTCCTAAACACAGTAGAAATGACACGGTTTTCTTGATTCCTTATGACTCACTCTTCAACGTGAAAGGATTTTCCCAAATTACTCTGTAGCCAAAAAACTAAAAAATTCCTAGTGTTTAGAGACAGAAGTTATGATTGTTGATTTGCTCCAACCTTCTAATACAACCCAAGGGGAGGGATTTCAGTCAGTAATTTGCCAATTCAGCACAGCCAAATAAACAATTTATTTTTCACATTCTACAGTACCTTTCAGGGAAATGCTTGCTTCAAAAACTAGATTCACTAGTGATACTGGTCAGAGATTGCATGGATTATCACCTAAGTGGGTGCTAAATTCAACACATCTACTGGTCTCCAACTAAAGAAAAGCAACTCTCAAACCGAATTTTTGTGCAAATACAAACACAAAATTGACCTGCTGTTTACCGCTGATGCTTCAGGGAGTATTCCTGCTAATAGGATCATTTGGTAGGACAACCACAGTAGACAAGTAGATGCAATTCCAGACCTACAGCCACATTCAGGCCAAAGCAAACACAGGTGACATTGCAAAAACCCTGTGGATAGCCCCAGAAACCGGGAAAATTTCATTCAGCTTAGTAGGGACTGCCCTCTCCTTTCTGTCAGACTCACAGAGAGCATCCTTTTTATTTAAACATGAACGTATAATTAGTATTACCACAGTTGAAGCAATTAATGAAAACAGATGAGAAATACAAACTTGAAGGAACCAAAGAGCCACTGAATTTCAAGGTTAAATAGTGGTGGCAGCAGCTTCTTCCTATTGACCATTGTCAAACGTTCAAAAGAACAGGACAGTGCAGGGAACAAGCAGTTGTCTCCCTGTTGGACCAAGACAACTATTTAAGGAAAGCAAAGGCAAAAGCAGAAAAAGAAAAGCACAGGGAGATTAAGGCACAGGGAACTCAGATCTCAGAAAATACTCCGACACAGTTGTCAGCTTTCTTCTTCATGACAATTTTACTTAGAAAACAAGTAGCAACAACCTGATCTTTGACACAGCATGAGATATCTATCTTGAAGATGCCATGCAGGCTGCATAGCCCATCCTCTCCTCGAAAAGATAATAAACTTGACTTTTTCTTTCTGGTGGTTTGCCTTGTGCAATCATTTACTCAACCATCACCATAATCATGCACCATAGCCTCAGAGAATGGCAGGTCAGTATTTTGTTGGCTGCTAGTCTACCCCTTGTTTCTAAATCGTATTTCCATTCTAGAGTCAAACAGCTGTAGGTAGAGGCCTTGGCCACTATGCTGTATCAGCCTTTTGACAGGACTTCATGTTTTGGTGTAGGTTGCTGGCTTTCTGGATCCATGTGTGGAGATCTTCGTGTGGCCACTGCTAGACCTGGGGAAGGATGACCATAGGCACCCCAATACACAGGAGGGTTTGAAACAAATGTCAGAGACAGTCCTGGATAGCTGCAATTGAACTGTGAAACAGTGGTATTTTATGCAAGCTTTTTTATTTTTAAACTGTGGGCTTGGGGAGTCTCAGATGAATGAACTGCTGTTAACCAGCAACAGATACAAGAGGGAGAGCCACTGGCAGTGTCCTTGCAAGGTTTCTGCCCAAGAGGGACCAGAGAGGAAAAGAGTTTGCTGTTTGGCTAGCTGCAGGGTAAGTCTCTTCCCAGCACAGGAATTTGTGTTGGTGATAGTGCAGGTTGTAACTCCTTTTTGGGCTTGGGAGTGACACGCTCCTTCCTGCAGCCTTCCAATTGCAGAAAAAAAGATGGGGAGAAGACTTCAGTGACTAATTCAGTCTTTTAATCCAACTGTTTTGGCTCTTGTTCCCTCAGATTACATGTGGATAATTCAAATGTCACGTCAGAGCTGTTCTGGCTGACTGGGAAAGAGAGATATGATTGCTACAGAACTAAAACTTGCCCCTATTTTCAAGTAAGCAAGTAGCTTCCCTTTCCAGAGGAGGCAGCCTCATGGTTGAGGTTGGGTATTCAGTGAAGAGCCAGTCTGTGAAAGATATATGCAGAGAGGCTGAGAGAGCTGGGACTGTTCAGCCTCAAAAAGAAAATGCTCAGGGGCGTTTTACCAATGTGCATGAACACCTGATGGGGGAGCAAAGAAGGCAGAGCCAGACTCTTCTCAGAGGTGCCCAGTGACAAGAGGCAATGGGCCCAAATGTAAACACAACAATTCCACTTCATGCAAAAAAATACACATTTTTACTGTGATGGTGGTCAGACATTGGAATAGATTTCCTGGAAGCTGTGAACTCTCCATGCTTGGAGATACTAAAAGGGTGATGAGGCACAGTCCTGAGAAAACCTGCTCTAGCTGACTCTGCTTTTAGCACGGAGGTGGGACTAGCTGATCTCCAGAGGCCCATGTCAACCTCAACTATTCTGCGATTCTGCACAAGAAAACTGGGAAGAAGGATCAAGAATCTTGAGCTCTTGGGAGAGGGGAGCTACTGTGATATCTGAGGCCACAAGTGCTGGATCTGCTTTTGATAGCACAGTTTCCATGGCATGCTCCCAGGGCAGTGCTGGGGTTTAAGCATGCTGTCCCACAGCTTGCTGTGTACCAGACAGTTTTTTGCACTCTGCACATCTCCAGGAGAACATCAGAGTATCCCATTCCATGATCAAAGCCATAGGCTCAAGCTCCGGCCCCAAATTTATAAATTAGTTATAAATGAAAGTTGCAACTTTCCATGTAATTTCATTTCAGTGTCTGTGTCATCTTCTTACCTGAGTGTTAGAGTCAATAAGAACCATGAGCTTCAACTGTCAAAAACTTAATTAACAATGCCAGCCCAGAACCTATTTTTGTTACATCTAGGCCTGCCTCCCCTCCCAGCTTTTTCAAAACACGTCTATGATTAAATATGCTTCAAAGACAGAGATTAAGGAATTATTATAGGAGATAATGATCAAACACTTTACACGTCTCATACTTACAGCTAAATGCAAAGGACTTTTTGTAGCTGTGGAATCAGATTCCTCAAACATATTGTTGGTTTTTTCCAGTAGCTGAAAATGAATTAAAAAAAAAAAGACAGTCTTAAAACACCTTCGCATGAGACAGGATAAGTTCTCATGGACTAATAATCAGCAGACAAAGATATATTTTGTCCTCAGATGTCCACAGTGAGTATTGAAGGACTGTGAGGAATAAATACTTCACAACCTTTTCTGTAAAGTATTTTCAAGTTTTCCCCCACAGGGTAAAATTATAAAACTAGTTCAAAAGCTTGTCATGAACATCCTTACCCTGATTAATGAGTTTCGCTGAAATCATAGGACCCGCTTGGGTGAGAAAGGAGCCCTCAGAAGGATTTGTGGAGTAAAGCCCTCGTTAAATTTACATTGGAAAAAGGGCAGTTTCATGATTACACAGGTAAAGCATATGCAAGCCATGTCTGATACAGCATTTCAGATAATTCTGACACAAAATTAGCACTGGGAATAATTATAACTGAGCTGTGAGTCATTCACAGTCATTTTTATGATTTATCAAAGTAGAACCTGCTCCTATAATGACAGTCTTCCAAAATGCAACACATCCTTGAACTCTTACAAACATCTAATAACAGGCATCACACTTTTATATGATCCTCTTCATTTCAAGGGATCCCAAAGCATTTCAAGGCTTAACAAACAGAGCATTTCCGTCCATCCAGAAGGAGGAACTATGGATTAGCACCACCCCACAATAGCACATGAACCTTGACAATTTATCAAACTGAGGCTGAAAAGAAAATCATACACAGTATTAACAATATTGAGAAGTCAACATTTGTTAAGTAGCACTGCTCACGTGCATGACCTTTTACTTAGTATCTACTCAAAGAATTAGTCTCCAAATATCTTTGTGACTGGAAATCAGCATTTTACAGAAAATTAGTAATACGAGATTGTAAAAAGGAAAGAAAAGCATGACAGTGAACTGCCACTGACGTGCAAGGTTTCTATATCCATTTTTCACACAGTTGTTTTTTTTTTTAACATAGTAAGGAATTAACTAAAAGACTGCAAGAGAAAAAGAGGAAAGGAAGTTTTTGTGACAATCTGAACAATTCTAGGGTTTGACAACATGGAAGACTCTCCAAAGCGAAAGCCTACAGTAGGCATGGAATTTACCTGCTTACACTGCAAGATGATGGCATATTCTAAACTCTGATGTATCCCTGAACTGTTGGTGTAACAAAGTAGTCTTTAATAGACCTACATCAAGGACAAATTTATCCAAAAATCAAACTGGAATACAATCAAACTGGAAAACAAGCTAGTATTAATAATGCATAAGGTATCATAAATCTCTCATTACAAGGACAGACACTAATCTGAATCCTATGGAAAAGTTAAAAAATTAAACAGTAATTTTGTTTATTTGTGTATTTTGTGCCTAGTAAAATGTCAGGACTGGGAAAGAAATGTGTGTTGATGCAAATACCACTCGTCAGCCAAGTGGGTGCGTGTATTTAAACAGGTAATATGGATTTTAACATATCCCTGCAGTTAAGGAAAAAAAAAAAAAAAAAAAAAAAGAAGTTCCACACCAGTTTTTCAGTAGGTTTGGGACAGGTTTAGGAAACACATTTGGTCTTACCATGTAGAGCCACCTCCAGTTTAAAATACTATTCTTCTCTTATACAAGCTAGCTATAAACAGGGTGAAGCAGTAGCCAGCTCTGAATACGTGAATACATTCTGATTTTTTCTAGTGAGTAAACAAACTAAAAAAATCTCACCAAACCCAAGTACTAAGGCTGTTCCTCTGCCTGCCAATACCGGCCTTTACTCGAGTCCATAAGGCCAGCACAGCAGACTAATTTAGTCACTTTTCATTACATTTACAACAATCTGTTGAAATTCCAGGATAAAATCTTAACACAGAAATACTTTCCTTAACCTGTCAAAGGGCTCCAAAAGGCTCCTGGAAAAAGGTTCATAATTGCCTTCTGAATAGATGAAAAAAACCACACAGAAAACTGACAAAATTAAGGCTCTAAAGGAACAAATTGTGGGATTGGAGAGCCCCCCACAAAAAGCATCTCCATGGCTTAGAGTTAAAGCAGCTTAGGCTGATGCAAACTAGGCTTAATGAGCTTATTTCTCATGAGGCTGAATGTCTCCATCATAAAGTTAAGCGTACACAAGAATTTGATGGTAAACCTGGTAGCTCTCAGATACATAGCCAGACAGTGCAAGAAGATAAATTAAAAAGGAGAGCAAGAAGAGGAAGATTAAAGACACAGCACTAACAATTTTTTTAGTATGCCTTGTCAAGCACTGCTTTATGACAATTAAAACTAAGTCATCTGAAGGACAAACATCATGCTCAAAGAAACAAAAAATACCAGGTTCAAGTTACTAAGCAAATTCTCCAGTTTCACCAGTGTTTCTACGGTTCTAAGAATGCATTTATAGAACATTACATATTCTTGTTATAAGAATACATAAAACAGCATGTCCTTGGGGGGCTCTAGCTCTATAATGTTTCTATCTTGGAGTATACTTGTAAGAAGCTACCCACAGTTGCATCTGTCTCCGACAAAGGTGAATGTATTGCTCAAGACCACTTGCCCTGACAGTCAGGGAAGCTTAAATCCACAGACCTCACAGAGCAATGCAAGCGTGTCTGCTGTGCTGTGACACATACCCACCTGCTAGAAGCTGGCCAATGCATTTCACTGACAGACAAATAAGCATGAATTACTACGAGTTTATGGTTACTGGTGGCTGACTGGAGAATGTCCCAGCATACCTCATTTCTCATTTCTCGTGCCACTGAAATTATGTCTTTTAGCTGATTACATTTTTATTTATTGATTGTGCACAGAATTTAAGCGCATGTCAGAACTGTGCAGAGACACTGCAAGGGAAACTGGTGGGCATGGTTCTCTCTGGTTAGGTTAAAACCTTTTAAAGGGTAAGGATGCCCTTACTTCTCTTTCTGCCTCTTGGAAACTCCCAGCACAAACCCTTCACTTCCCGTAACAGCACTATTTAATACTGTATGTAATTATTTTGTAAAGTCTTCTTCGCACTCAGAAACAGGAACTTGAATGCTTTTGGGAGAGAGATGCAGACAAAGATAAAACATGTCAATTATTCAGTTCTACTGTTACAAACTAATAGCGCTACAAGTCTGCTATTATAAACTGTCTTCTCTTCCCCAGCTCTGTATGAAGATTAGTAACATTTACAGTTCTCACAATTTTATTTTATTTGTATGGTAAAGGTATTTACAGACATAAGAGGCTTTACTGCTTGATTTTATTCTGTGGTTATAATAAAGGATTATATGGGAGGATATGATATGGGGTTTTTTCCTCCCTCCATTTTTATTTGACTCAGTCAGATGTGCCAAGTTAATGAGTCAGAATAGTGCTTACGATTGTCCTTATAGACTGTAACATATTCTAAAATTCACCTCTGGTTAAAAAAAAAAGCTTCATGGAGCATCTCAGTAATTTAAAATTACCATTAGGCAGAAAAGGAGATAATACTTTCATCATGCATGAAAGGTTTAAGCTACACGTTTAAAAGGAAGATGTCAGAAGCAACTTCAAACCATAGACACTGTAACGACGGGTGCTATCTCAAATCCTGAAAGAGAACAGAACGCGTGATTCTGTACAAGCCGTCATGCACCCACACCTGTAGGCACAGCCGTTTAAGTGCACTACTGGCAGTTAAGTCAAAGGTTTGATCTAACTACCACTGAGGTTGAAGTGACTTTTCTTTGAGAGTTTTACTATTTTAGTGAGTAAAGCAACTTCTACATTCCAGCATGCATACTTCCAGCACTGTTAATGAACTTCTACAGTTTCGTTCTATTAATACTCATCGTAAAATGGCAAAACATTAGATTACATGTATATAATCTCTAAATGGCCTTTATTCTCAAATGTTATTAAGCAAACAGCATTCAGAAATTTTCACACATGTGAAGAGCTGATCAAAAAGCAATTAAGACAAAAGAAATAGTTGAACCTTGCTCTTCTGCAATAATTACATAGCAATGTAGCTTATCACTTACAAGGTCATTCAGAAGTGGCAATTAGTAACAATTTTTTAATGTCACTTTCATAACTGAATAAAAATGTATCAGCTAGGATGTCACTTTGAATCTCATCTTTCCTGATAAATTGCAATAGATAATTGTCTCTACTGGGGGAAAACATGCCAGCAGCAGCAGCTTTTAAATACAGGCTTTTCCAGCAAGTAGCAAGTGTAAGATTGAAGACTCTCATCAGTTGTTTCATATGAGATAGAAGAGAGTAATAGAATCAACCTCTGTACTACTTTATACCAGGGAAGCACATTTTTAAATCTCAGAATTATTCTTGATTGAATAATTCAAAGATGAAGTGGCACAAACATATCCTCAGGGAAGGCAAGCAATCCTATAAGCTCTCTCCATATTTGTAAATACAAATGATCCAATTATTTTAATTTGATCAGGTTAAAACCAACACACATCCTCATCCCAGTGTCTGATATGTTTTCCTAAAATCAGGCTTTAAAAATCAGATTAATCAGTGTTTACATCCATTTCACTCACGTGCGTAGATTATGGGTGAAGTTAAAGTAACATAACCAGGAAGCTTCGCAAGAGCTTAGGTAGACTCATTCTGAATAAATTTATTAGTAGTTCCATGCAACTCTTCTAGTACAGAGTTTAAATATCCAATACCCTACCACAACAGTCACCACCATGCAAACAGGACACTTACCTGGCATATAAGAGGACAATGTTCAAGTCGTTAAACATATTTAAATCTCAAAGTTGGAGCAGACCTCCAGGCCACTGGCTGTTCTCACGTGGGACACTAATCTGCTGTTGGAGCTCTTCCACTTCATACAAAATCATTTCATATTAAGCCATATGAGTGCCATACTCAGGGGGTTATACAGGAGATTCTCACCCAGTGAGTATTTATACGAAGCAGGACAGCTCCAAAGCAGAGCGAGAAATCCTACCCAGTACCAGCCAGCATAACATGTTGGTCATTTCCTTGGATGTAGAAGTCCAATTTCTTCATCAGTTAGAGCAGAGATATGAACCTGGAACTTTCACACTCGAATCACATATATCATGTTTCTTTCTGGCCAGAAATTCTATCTCAGAGGTTCTGTAAAGCCTCATACTTTGGTTTAAGGGCCCTCTTACCCCAGTGAAGATTTTGCAAAATTTCATACACTTGTATAAAAGTGTATATAGGAAGGCTTTTATTTAGAGAAATTATTATCCTTAAAATTTTCCTCTTTAGCTAGAAAATATGAGCGCTGGTGAAATACTGCCACAGTCAATTTTTAAAATGTGCATTTCAGTGGTATTTTTGCTACTCTCTTCCTATTTGTACCTCTACTGTGAAATACACACAAGCGCTTTTTAAATTCAGACTCATGTGAAATCGCATAATTTGCATTTCTTCTCTGAACCACTTGGAAATTGGCCACAAACTTCCAGAAAACAGACAAGTGTTGGTTCCATTTCACATTACTGAATGCAAAGTTACTTTAACATCCAGAAAAACATCATGCCAGTCAGGTACGTGCACTTCACTCACAGCTCCTAAGACTGACTGAGGAAAAGCAACAGACCTTCTAGCAAAGCTTGAGCCTGTAAGCAACCGCAAGAAGGAAATCCAACTGAAATAAAAGCAGCACGCATGCAATTGCTTGAAGTACATGGCATGCTAGTTAAGAGTTGTGATTCTTCTTCCTCAGGCTTTATGAGAGTGAATACAAGGATTTTCAAAATACTAAGAATTTTAAATAAAAACAAAAATACACAACATGCTATCATTTTTCATTTACTCACTATATCCAGTGGAGTTTTGCTTCCAATCTGATTAAAAATGTCAGTTAGAATCATTAAAGACATAAGTATTCAAGTATAATTGTAATCTGCAAGTGTTTCTTGGGGTTTTGTTTTTTTTTTTTTCCTGTAGAATAAACTGCACTGCAAGCAGTGCGTGAAGAGAATCATAAACCAAGACCTGATCCTGTGTACGTCCATCTCTACACTGTCCACCTATGGATGGAATACTCCTGAAGCAATGAGAGTACTGCCTACTGTCAGACAGCCACTGTGAATAGATACCTGTTGCATTACTTCATTAAAGGAGGAGGGGAAAGAGGAAAATAATGAGGATGTTTAGAATCAATCTACTCAATTGACGAAGTACAGATATACAGGTACGAAATACACACACTGTGGGAGACTCTGCCTGGTGAAGTTAGATCACTTTGTTAAGCCTACAAATACCGACAGTGACAGTTTCTTTTTGAAAGTCTGCTCATGCAGGCAAACATCCTGCCTTGTATAAATAAGCCTGATTGCACCCCTACAATCCCAGCACCCACAGCTCTTTCTGAGCTACACAGTATAATACAGTGCCATATGCCATGATCAAATGCCTTTTTCATTGGATTTGGTATATTTGAGGGAGTCAGATATTCTTCACACATTTACATTTAAACACCACACACACAAATAGACAGACAGGTATTTAAGGCAACAGGAGAAGTCCATGACCTCTTTCCAAACTGAAAGAAAAATGTCTCCTGCAGTTCTGCAATGGCCTTGTTATTGTCTGCCAGAAGCCAGCAGATTTAAGTCCCTTACTTCTCCACCCCAGGAAAATAAAAATATGAAATTAAAAAAAAGGCAAAATCTGACAGAGACAGAAAAAATAAGCCTCCGAGATGCTAGGCAATACTCCTATCCTACAAGCCAAAGTGCCGGCAAGGTGCCAGAGCAAATGGTAAATTCCTGCACTCATTGAGTTTGCAAGCAGCATTAGCCTTCTAGAAAACATTATTTAGGATCAAAATTATCTAGTTTCCAAAGCATAAAATCTAAGCCAAAATGCCCTTCTATAACCTAACACATATTGGCATATCTAGCATATATAGGGCCCTATTGATCATTTAACCACTGGGTACATATTCACTAATGCTGACATCAAAACTTACGTAATTAAATCAATCTACCACTATTTGGGGGGTTCTAGGACTGACAGACAAATTAGGTTTATTATTTTCAAGCATTAAGTTCCTAAGTTCTTTTCCCTTCTAGAACCACTCGAGTTAATGACTTTGCGCTTCTCCACTAAAAAATGGAGCTTCCACGTGGGAAAAGCTCTTGCAGACATGGGTACAGTGTCATTCACCACACAAAACACTGTCACCACTGGTTTCAGACAAAACACTCCCTTTAAGAAAGAGGGTGTTGATCGTGGAGATGGACAGGCATTTATGAAGGAGAAAACCCAGAATGCATCCCCCAGATAGAGAGATTTGGGCCAGAAGGAGCCCTAGGGGCTGCCGCTGGACAAGCATCCAAGCCAGATCCCCATGTGGCAAAAGGCTTTTTAACACCTATCTCAATCACAGTTGTGATTCACTCGTCACTAATTACCAATGTCCTGCTCTCAGATGGATGAATGGACAAATTCTTGTTGAGAAGAGACACATATAATTAGTAGCCGCCACACCGAATGTTTATGGGGTCTGTTGTTACAGTTTCTCCACAGGTTAAGGAGCCAAGTGTTTGAAGGCACGGCTTAACTATTTTCCAGTAATAACAGCCGGTCTAATAAAAAGACGTTTTCTTTCTCTTCAAATCCAGCTCCTCCTTTCACTGCGTGGCCAAAATGGCCTTCTGCTAGAAAGAAATCTCCCTCTGGCCCTTCTTCCCCACACAGACAGCTGTGCGGATCACCTTGCTTCAGGCAGGCAAGCAGACTGAGATTTGCCTTTTCTTTTGGACACGGTTTTCGGTTAAACCGTGCTCTCCTTCCACCCTCAAATGAATTAGCCTCTGTGCCAATTCAATTTCTATTAGCCAAAGAGTGAATTTCATTTGCTGATGGAATAAGGAGAAGGGCAGATTAAAAGAAAAAATAATTGTCCATTCTTACAGTCAGAGATTTCACTACAGGAGACAGGCATTTAATTCCATTTGCCCTAACAATGCACAGAAACCTGTTATTACCAGCACAAAGTGCTTGACTGGCTCTCCAGATAGAATTTTAATGTGAAATTACAATTTAAATTTTATTCTTTTCACACCAATAAGGATTTTGTGATAAGAGATCATTTCAATGGAAAAACCCAACACATTTTTCTTTTTTTTTCAAAGGAGTTTAGTGATGTGATCAGCTCTAAAATACCAGATAGTGATTGTGACTGATACCCCTGACTACTGAACACCAAAGAAGTCAGTGCCAATCTAAACAAACGTGAGGTTATTTTTAGAAGTAGCAAAGCAGATGGGAGTTTCAGTTGCTTGCAAGCATGCATGACCACCATTCAGCCTTTATGAATGGCTCCTTACAGATGGAGAAAGAATTCAAGAATCTGCTTCCACTCTTCTCTTTTTAGCAACATCACGACATTCATCGCAGGGCAGCTACCCCACTAATATCCCAGACAACGTAAAGGTCCTCCAGGAAAAAAGCTTCTGTCATTGAGCTCTGTGGCTGAACACACAAACACAAATTTTATTTGTTTGGGTCAAAGGATACGACCTTTTCAGTCTTAATCCTTATTTCTCCTAATACCTCTCCTCTTCCTACAAAGAAATTTAGCAAAATTCTGGCCAAGGTATTGGGCTCACAGTAAACACTAAAGTAAAAAAATTAAAATATATTTTTGCAGATAAACCAGCCTTTCCTGAACTGTACTCAAACATGTAAATATTTTGTAATGCTGGAAGCTATGGTGCTTAAAGCACAGACCCCTCAGCGAAGGAAACTCCACTGGATGCTGCATCTTCTTCTTTAGACTTTCTTTTTTAAGTGACCATTTAGTTAGAAATAAGCTATTTTAGATACCTGTTATAAAAACCAGAGGGGAAAGGGGAAGAAAAAAATTAATCTTTATAAGGTCTTTGATAAACTTGACATATTCTGGAACACTGAAATAATTCCCTAACATTCTGCTGAAGTTCAGTATTGTGCTTGTAGAGAAATACTAGTAACCATTACTCATAAAATCAAGCTTATTGTTGCATCTACTTTGTCTTAGTTTTGATCAGAATTAAAGCTTCATATTTTACATGAACTCTTTCCTCTAACAGTTTTATGCCCATAAAGAACTGTCTTGTTCTAGGGAAGATAATTCCTAGATATTTTCATCTATGAGCTACCAATGAAAAACAAAAGTATTTACCCAAAGGATAAAACAATAAAATAACAGTTCATTTGACACTGAAAAAGAATGTTTTTATCAATAATCCTGCCTGAAAATCTATTCTTCAGGATGGAAGGGATTGGAAATATTTTGGAAGGAGTGTTCCATATGTCAGAGTTCCTGTGATACAGTTCAAAGATAGCACGTTTAAGAAAGACATCAATTTATCTCTGTTATTGCACATGTGAAACCAAAATAAAAAATATCCCTGCCTATCTACAGACATATTTACAATGGAATTGGGACTGCTGGGCTCCCACTGTTCCTTGAGTTAGAGCAAGCAAAAATATTGTGAATCTTATTTTCCTTTTCATTAGCACTGAAGACAAGAAAAACAACAAGAAAAATGTATTTCCAAGATACAGCAATAAAACCAGCCAAGTATTCCTCAGACATAACCAGCTGTCCTTGTGCACCTACTCTACACACTGAGCCATCAAGTTAACCTGCAGTGTTAACCGGAATTGCATCATTACTGAGGAGAGCCCTGTGCAGCTCAGGAGAGAGAAAAAAGGCAAAGAGTGTTGCCAGTTTTCTTGATCTCATTGGTTTGGTTGGTTTAAATTTCAAAACAGATAAACAGAAGGCTTGAGGACTAAGACGGCATTTGATGACTGACTTACTGTTCTTTCTGCTATGTGGAAAAGAAGGGGCCTCCAGCTAGAAGTCACGTCTAAAAGGAATTAAACCTTATTGGATGCTTCACTCAACTATGTGTAACTAGAGCAGTCAACGTACTGTGGTTAATAGCTACCAGAAATAAAGATCATGGTTCATGACAAAGTCCTTGTCATAGGTCCGCCACAGAGAGCACAACAAACTGTGACCAAGCCACCAGTCACCTTCACAAGACAGCGAGGCTCCTTTCCATCTGCACCAGATGACTACTTGTTGCAGCTTTTAGACACAGCCTTCAAAGAGCCATGAAAACCGTCACTCAGTCAAAACCAATTTGATTGCATTACAAGATTGCAATGTCTATAGATGACACTATTTTACTAGCTGAAGCACAGGAATCAACAATTGGCTTAACACCTGGGAGTCTCATGTTGGAATAAGTGAATAAACCTAGGCGCGAGGATTATTTCCATTTCATGCCCACAGCACAATTACATTTCAGCTACTCAAGACTTTGGTCTCAGCCCTCTTGCCATCCTGAATCCAAGCAATGTAAAGGTGGTGTCTGTATCAATTTATTAGTCACTGTTATGAAATATAAAGTTATTAAACTTAGGACTCAGTAACTCACTAGAGCTGAAGGACAGCTGCTCACATGAACAAAACAGAATCACCTTCTGACAGTGGGTGCAAAGATGATGAATTGTGTTCCTACTGTTGATCGAACACAAATGCTTTCTGGTACATTTAGCTTTTGTATTCCAGAGAGAAAATGAGATGCCTGTCATCCTCTAAACAAAATCCTGGTCCGCAGGAAACTTTCAGGCAGACACACTAGTACACAATAGTGGTCCTTTGTGTGCAAAAGGCTAACATTCATAGCAGTTTTCTTTCACCAGTGTACACAGAACAGCTGTATGACCATCACACTGGAAATGATGCTCGACCTTGGGTTTCTGTACTGCAGCTATAGTCACAAATATGGGAAGACTAACATGGAAAAACATTTAATTCCTCTGCCCAAATATAGAACACTTGCTGCACAGCTCTCTCTAGCCCACAGTTTGCATTTCACCCTCTACAATAAAAAGAAAACCCAACACCTCTGATATGCACTGCACTCCCAGCTCTTCCTTTTGTCTGGCAAGCCTAATCAACACTAGGACTTGATAGCAGGTCATTGTCTACAACTGATACGTTGCCAGAAAATGTTCACAGCAACAAGAAAGAGAGGAGACCTCACTCCATGCCTGCTCCATGCCTCATGGCACACAGGGACTATGATACAAAGGCTGAAAGAGAATCCCCCAGTGAAAACACTTTTATGGGGGTCTCTGCTCATGCAAATCATGCAAGAATCTGGTGATAAGACATGGGTAAGGTTGCAATATACTTTGTTGTGGCCATACAAGCATAGGCTTGTACACAGCACAGAGGAAGCTACTCTATATATATGGCCTTCAAATGCCAAGAACATTTGCTTTTGTTCCAAATGGGCAGCAGGCTCAGGAGAGGATCCCTCCATCCCCACAGGCAGAGTCACAACAGATCAGCTCTAGGAGAAGCCTCTAAACAAGGAAAGGCCAAACTCACTGCCACAAGCAACAAAGGAGCAATGAGATTTTAAGTGTCCTAAATATACATGCTCGCAGGTGGGAGCTTAGAAGGCTTATCATTGCACCTGAAATTCTGACCCAGGGCTGCCCTGGAGTAATTACAGGTCAAGGTTTCCAAGCTGTTGTGACCCTGACCTTGGCCAGCTGCAATATTTCTCCTGTGGTGGCAGCAACTGACAGCGCTGGTAAATGCGGTGTGAAAGCAGCATGTGCTGTGCAGAGTTCCTTTTCAATAATTAAGTACTTTGACTCTTCAACAAAGAAAGACCCAAACAACATAAAATACTAAACAGCACACAGTCTTCTTACTAAAGCATGAATATCTATACAATTTTCTAATTAGACCTTTTTTAAAGCAATTAAAGCCTATTTATGTGTAAGATAATCATTTGGATCACCCTGTATATCAAGCAGTTCAGTTAACACCCATCTTCATGACACTTACTTTTACAAGTCACAAACTTCTATAAATCCATACTACATATCTCCCAAATTCAATTTTTGGCTAAAAATTTTGGGCGTCTTATGAGATGCAATTTTTAATTATTCAGGTCCAGGATATTAAAAAACAACAACAACAAAACAGTTACATTGCATAAAAGGTCAATTTTAATTATGGTAATTTTATGAATGCTGCTATTATTTCACCCAGAGCAAAAAGACGCTGCAGGTATGCAGCTGACAAAAGGTATTTATTCTCTCAGTTTGCAAGCCCGATAATGTGCCAGCTAAGTAAGGCACATACACAGTCATGCACTGGGAACTATCCCTTACTACTGGCATGTACACATACACTGGGAGTATTTTGATCACGGTTAAAAATAAGTTGAGCATACATAAACTCCACTCAAAGACAACATTTAAGCACCAGCTTGTTGAACAAGACTGGATTATCAGGACTAGCATGTTTTTAAGATACATCTGGTGGCATATATTTGTGTTTACTGCACCATATTACAGGTTTTCACAGATTTCTGAATATCCAAAGAACTCAAATAGTAACTGTCAGGGGAGTTCATAATACTAGTATATGCACATATATATCAGCAGGTAAGAGACTTCCAAAATGGTCTGAGCACTCACCAGTTCCAAACACTGCCGGTGCCCATATGCAGCAGCATAATGCACAGTGTTGTACCCCTCTTTGTCTTGGATGGATGGATTGGCATCATTCTGTAGAAGGAACTCTAGACACCTGTGGACAATTCACTAGTGTAAGCATGAGCTCACAATATTTAACAGACTCATCCCTCACTGCAACTGGGAGTAGCACTGAAAACCAGCAGTTAATTCTGTATTTCTAGCAGCACTTCAAATCACTTTTCATCAATAGCTGCTTGCCATTTTTTAAACAGAAAATCCCCACTCATCTTTGAAGATTATCTTCATAAAAAACAACCTTCAACCTAACTTTTGCGCCTACTCTAGATTACAAAAATTATTTTCTATTACAAAGCCTGAAAGAAAACTACACAACTCTGTACCATGATGTAAACAGCCTAAAACTGCTACTACTCACATAAAAACTCATATATCAAACCACTGGCCTCCAAACATGCACTATGGCAAGGTGAAAAATAGAGACTTAACTGAATTAATCTCCTGGCATGTACACACAGAAATATATTTTCTTCTTTGTTGGCTTTTTTTTAAATCATGTGTTTTTCAAAGGCTCCCTTATACTCTTTATAGCTTCTGCCACTTTTTCTTACACCAACAAGAAATCATAATTTTGTTACGAGTACTTTCTTCCACAGCTTGTAATTTGTAGTGAATGTAAGGCTGTCACGTGAAAAAGGGGATTTTTAAAACAAAAAAAAAACATTTTAAGCAGCTAGATGAAAACGTCGATCTGAGTAAATGCATTGAGGAAGCCATTGGCTACTTCATTTTGCAACAGACATACTCAGTGCAAAGCATTAAAATAAGACACTGCATGATACTAAAGAATTATTAAAATACTAAAGCAGTACATTTTCAATTAAGAAACAGCAACAAGCACAGAAACAGAAATATTAGGGAATACGTGCACAGAGAAGAGCATAGAGATTTTTTTGTTTAGGTTAGCCCTCATTAAAGCCAAACATTATGTTTAGCAGAGCAATGAATGAGCAAAAGCAGAGTGTAAAACTGCCCAAAGTAGTGGCATTTTCCAGAAATGAGATCTCACTGCTTTATTGACACCAAACTTACAATGCAGCTTCTTTTTCCTTCATCTCACAGGCTCTTTCAAGTTCTTCAGCATTTTCATGGGAGTTACCTAAAATATTCTTTCTTCTTAGCATAGAGGATAGAAAAATGCAACTTATTTTCAAAATATACCAGTGATTTTGATGCAGTCTGCAACCCATCCCCAATCTCCTCTTCAGGGAGTTGACCTCCTCCAGCCAACAATAAGAATTATACAAGTTAAATGACTGTACTGCATGGGTCTGCAACTGATAAGTTTTGCAAGCTATGGAGGCAACTGCCACACGGTAGTTTTTTGTCCTGCAAGTCAATGCCAGAAAAAAAAAAACAAAAACACACCAGAAAATTCTGGCTTCTATCAGAAACAGTTTGGTCATCACTTTTTAGAATCCTTCTGTTTCTCCCACAGAATCTTGTTTCCTTTGCAGAGAAGAACTCAGGATTACCACAGCTTGCTTCTTCCTGCAGCAACCTGATAGTTCTTCTCTAGCTTTTAGGATTTAGAGAAACTTTAATCACTGATACTAAATCAGTGTATCTTGAATCTGCATTAGCTGGGTTGCTGACTTTCCTCATTTTCTCTGAAATATCTTGGCAACACTCTGTGGATGTCCTGGTCAGGTTCTTTAGATTCTTCGAAGAGCTCAGCATGTCTTCATAGTCCTGCACCCTGGATCATTTTTGGCTTCTCTGCTTTCCAGCTGGATGGATGGCAGACAGAAGACTATGATTTGTGATCTTACAATCATGAGCTTGTGATCTTTCTTGGACACCAAAGCTAACACAGAATACATTTATAAACTGCTATCATCATGGATTAGCAGTTTGAAAGGTTTGTAGAAGGACAGTTTGCTAATTTCAATCCCAATATAACACACAATTTACAGACTGGATTCTGCACAATGCAGAACAGTACATTATTTTTTTAATATGCAATTTCCCATTTGTAATATCAGTATTTTACATTCTTCCTGTGGGTGCTAGCAATAATGGGCTGTTCTACAAATGCAAGATCTGTCTCATGTCCACTGACTCAGAGAAAATTTATTAATAAAATAATTCCACTGAATATTAACATTGTAAGCTCATAGACAGTACCTGTGCTATGCCGAAGTCCTACCTGCATCTGCTTTCAGTTAACTACAAATCAGTGAGATCCTAAAATAAGATTCCCTGAACAGAGTAAATGATGATCTGTAGAAACAGTACATACTCAGAAACTGCAATCATCTATTTAACGAAAATATGGTTGCGATTTCCATTGGAGGAAAGGCTACTTTCTGAAGACCATAAGCAACAACAGTTACCAGAACAGCTGAAACAGTAGGGCAACCTCACTGCACTAAGATTTTTCCCTGCTCATTAACTGTCCACATCCAAAGTTAAATAATTATGAGTATTATTTGGACTGAGATTGCCTGACCTTGGGAGTTTTTTGCCATTCAGCAGG